AATGAGGAAAAAGAAATCGCGACACGCGGTGAAACGCGGACCGCCCGCGGTCCGCGTGTTTAAGGAAATAAAAAACGCAGTTTTCAATAATCCATCAAAAAGTGCGAACCAAACGGTATGGCGGGGGTGTTTACGCCGCCCGCACTTATAAGCTGCCCCAAACGGGGCTGAGTGTACATCTATCCAAATCATTGTTTATAATTAATTTTCTCTATCCATAGTTGTTCACCCTCATAAAATGACATATTGGGGCCTATCTTGTCATAGGCTTCTAAGTGTAAGACTTTCTAATTCTTGTCACCTTTTTTGTTTTTATGACTCGAATCCTGAAAGAAATCAACTCATAATTAGACGTTGAGACATGAGGATTAAATGTTTGGTTTCGAGTGATAATCTTTCAGCGCTTAGTTGATATGTTTGGCCTTGGTTGCTTGTCCTCAGATGCTCCAGCTTGGTTATCTGGTCTTAGTTGCTCGATCTTGATTACCTGGCCTCAATCGCTCAGCCTCCGTTACTTGTCTTCAGTTGTTCAATCTTCTCGACAATGACAGTTACGTATGATCGTTCGATTTATTAGTTTAAACAATTAGGGAAAACTTTTGTTGATGGATGGATTTTGGACGGTCTAATTCACGATGATCTATTGTTTTATCTACAATGACTCATACTATACTTTTTGTTGTTGCACAATAAGAATGTTTCTAAAAACACCCAAAACATGTAAAAATTATTTTGAATTTTTTTAAAACATCTATACTTATTTTAAAATTTTAAGAGTATAAAACATGTAAATAATTCTTTTAACAAACATGTTTTTTATAAATAAATAAGATATAAAAATGATTCCAAAGAAGCCCTTAACTTCATATTTTTTAGGTCAAAGGGGTAAAAGAGGTGTGTCATAATAGCCTTGAAAGAATGGGTACTCTTTAGGACAAAAATATGAGAACATTTATTGGGAAATGTAATTTCTTAGGTTGGAGCATTGTCAATCATAATTAAGAATAAGTGAAAGTTAATATTCAGAATTTAAAATTTGGCCTTACTTTAGAAGAAGAATGAAAAATGACACATAGTTTGACTTATTTTAGAAGAAGAATGAAAAATGACACATAATTTGACTTATTTTAGGGTTTTATGGACAGTTAAAAATGAATGGAATGAAATTGCAAATTTGTAAACTATGATTGGATACCTGTGTTCGTTACTCTTATTAAATATTTTTGATATATAGGGTCACCCTTTAAAAGACACACAGACACATAGAAAGAGAGAGAGAGAGAGAGATCAATGAGAGCCTTGAGAGGGAATCTATAAAAATATATTAAATTGTTATATATGATAAGTCGGAAAAGTTGGGTTTCTCGAAAGTTCCTTGAGTTATAAGATTTTAGAGGGAGAGAGGGAGTATATATATACTCGTACACGTTCATATATTTTGTTTTGTAATTGTAATGTATGCATTTTAGTATGCATATAAATTTTTTATGCATACATCATATTTCACGTTGATTAAGCTTTTTCTTAGACTCCAACTTCGGTTGATGCATATTGATTTTTATTTTTTGTCGGTCACCGCGTGCGGGCGCGTGTGCGTGTCTCTATGTGTGTGTGTGTGTGTCACCCCTCTTTATACACAAGAGAGAAAGATAATAAAATAATCAACATGGTGCATCTCATACTGTGCGATGCCCATCCTTGGTGATGAAAATAATGTGATATGAGTGACAGGTGTTGATGGTACAACACCCATTTCTAATGTCCGAGTGAGAAGATTGAGTCCCAAAGCGTCTTTAATAATTGAGTGACAGATGTCTTTTCATCTTACCGAGACACTTGATGCAATCATAAGCACACAAGATTCGACATTCGTTTGACATTCTAAATACGCCTGAGAAACTTTTAAAAGTAGTTTAATTGCTTGATTGAAGCTTGATTTGGTCTACATTAGACTAATTTTAGTGTCATTGAGTCCGTCTCATCAAACTGGTCAGTTTGACTGCAAGTTTGTTGAAATTAAAGTTCTTAATCACTCTTAATCGAAGTTTGAATATTTATTACTCAAAATATTATCATGATATCCCCGCAACACCTTGAGATTTGTGCTAGATGATGCGAATTTATTGAAGGCATATCAGGCTTGAATTGTCATCGGAGTCAAGCCGGGCCAACTCAAAATGAATCAAGTTTTAGTGGGGTGTGTGTGTGTGTATAAATACAAAATTTTATCTCACAAAACACAAAATTTAATGCAATGTATTTTGATCATTCAAATTTTAATCTTAGTAAAATCACATAATTAAGCAAGAAGCTTGATGCAATTAATGAGTTAAGAAATTTCAAATATAAAATTTTAATCTCCTGCATTTTGATTTTATCACAACTAAATATTTCAATTTGATGAAGTCAACACCATCAAAATTTATTAAATTTATTAAATCCACTCAAATTTAAAATTATAATCAAGCAATATTTATACTTTGAACTCTTTGCAACATCCAATCAAGGATCCTAGATTTTTATTTATTTATTAATTTTGAAAGGTGAGCCTTAAGGACATTAAAACTAGTGATTAGTGTGTGAATCAAACTCTCGCCACCCGAGTGGGAGACGAGCCCCCAACCACAAGATTGTGAGTTCATTCTTCAATCTTAGATTGAGGGTCTGTTTGAGACAACTTTCTGACTGTTTTACATTTCAAGAAACTTTTTTTTTTTACCTTTATAGAAATTTAAGTGATTGAAATTGTTTTTTTTTTTTTCAACACGGCCTCTTAAAGTGGAATGATTATAAGAATATTGCTCTCTGATTTTTGAAAAAAACAATATCTATTTATAATTTCCAATACAACATTAATAAATTATTTTCTCTACCATAATTTTACAGTCACCCTTTAAACAAAGTTGCAACCATCTCAAATATACCTCGAAACTAATCTAGATCAGTGGAATAACTCTAAGATAACAGTTTTGTATCATATTTTTAATAAAATATTTTGATATTTTGATTATAAAAATGCTTCCCAAGCTAAAGTCAGCAACATACAACAATAATAGAATGACTCCCATTGGCTTAACCCATTTTATAAAATCTAAACATAGATATATGCAAGATTATTTATTTATTTATGGACCATTTACATACACACCACACAATTCTCATATATTTACATTTATAACACCAAAATTTTAATATTTACATGCGTTAAACTCACAATTATTCAATGTCACATTAAGGGTCTGTTTGGCACAGCTGTGAATTATTTATAATCTGTTGATAAGCAGATTATTCTGATAATCTGATAATCTGTAGATTATCAGAATAATCTGGCTTGCTGTTTGGGCAAGCTTATTCAAACTAGCTTATTGGTGGTTAAATGACATTACTGCCCCTGTGTGATAAAACTGTTTGGGGCAACTTATTTAGAATAACTTATTCGTAGAAAAGAAACATATATTACAGAAACATACGATAATGACAAACAAGTTCTAAAAGATATCATACAGTTCTCACATCCTAACAGTACCAGTAGAACTAAAAAAAATACAAATACAAGTACAACAACAAGGAGAAATATTAAAATATTTAACTTCAGACTCTGGCTACGTCGGTCTTCAACTGCACAGTCAGCCTGAGAAAACATCGGATTCACATGACTGTTGGCATAACTACTGGCAGTGTAATATGTGGGACTATCAGCCCACCTGAAGAAACCGCAACGAGCTGAAACACCTCTGACACAACCATATAACTGCCTCCCAAAGCTATGCTCCTTACGTGACGTTAGCAACGGAGACGGTAGTCCACAATAACACAAAATCTCTCTGTCCGTACATGATATCCTGAAAGTCATGTTTGTTTAACTGCGAAAATAACAAAAGAATCAATGTCGGTTTAAGGTATTTTAAAAGTAACCAAAATTAAATACATATGAATATCAAAATATAACCTTATTAAAGTAAAACTTGGTATATCAACAGCCACAAATAGCATCTGTGATAGACTCACTTAAAACAATCATATCAGTCAAACATTCACCTTCCTGATCTCCAAATTCATTAGACTCTACATCATCCTCAGGTAATGAATTCCCACCCACAATTCCAGAAGTTTGCTCGAAGACATTCAGTTCATCACTGTCAGTCATACTAAAGTCTGTATCTGATTGTGAGGAATGTCTTCGGATGAAGTTATGTAGTGTCATTGTTGCAACCACAATATGCACCTGCTTTTGGAAAGGATATGACGGCATATCACGTAGGATGACTCATTTCTTCTTCCAAACCCCAACTGTTTCCATTCATGTCGTGGAACCAACAAACTGAACAAAAAAATTAAATAAAGTATACAATAAGGATTGTGTGATATGCATGTGAATTTTTCTAAAATTAAATAAAGTGAATCCACTAAGGCTCAGAATCAGAATACAAAACAAGCTTGGATCTTTATCAGTTTTTATACTGTTGCCATAGATGAGAAAATTCCATTTGGAAAAATCAACCATTAAATCCCACAAATTTGAAATTTCAAAAAGGCTGCTTCTGTTGAAATATGAAATTTCAATGTCAAATGTGCTGATAGAATGAAACTTCAACTGAATCATGACAAAAATTAAACATTGATTAAAAAATAAGCTGATATAGATATGATACAATATCAAAGGTTAGTGAAAAAATCAATCCACTTATCTAACACTTGTCCTAACATCACATTCTCATTACGTCTAGTTAATCAATTCATGCAAAAACCTAAAGAGTCACACCTTCAAACCACCTATAGAATCCTCATATATCTCAAATGAAGACTAAGAAAATGAATTTTATAAAAGAAAAAAACAAGATACCCTATAAGTTGATAAATGCATAGATACAGGTATCACCCCAAGCAAAAGGAGGTTTTATCAAGTAGGAAGAGAATCAGATTTAGGTGTTAACTGTAAAGATAACAAAATCAGATTTAGGTATTCATTTAAACCCTACAGACAACAAAATAAATAAATAAATAAAATAAAAACTATACATTTTAATAAAAAATATAATTCACATACATCAACAAATTTTAAGAAACATGTAGAGAAGCATGCACATAGAAATTCTTGAACAAAAGAATTAGGAAGTAAAACGCCTGATATCATGAGCATTTGCAAGCATCATGGAAAAACTGAAGGTGCATTTAAAAACATACCACCCATTTCCTCTGAATATAGATATCTAACACCTAAACTTTACCCTTTACATTTAACCATAAATAGCAATGAATTTCAGCACATTTATACCACAATTACCCCAAATCACAACAATGAAAGAAAATATTATTAAGCAACAAGCAACAAGCAACTAGGATTACAATCAACACTCAAACAAAAATGAAAATACAACAAAACATAAGTATCCGGCTATGGCCAAAGCTGGGTGGCTAGCAACTGTACACAAGAAGAAGAGTGACTTGGGCGGCTAGTGGATGAAGACAGATGAAAGAAGGGAGCCGGTTCTTTGGCAGCGAGAGATAAGGATGCAAATAGATGGTATGGGTGTCGGTGGCTAGATGTAGGGCTAAGAACAAAAAGGAGGAAGGATGGCAGAAGGGTGACAATTGGAAGAAGCAAGGGCAGGCGTAGGCTGTAGCTGGATTTCCATAAAAAATCTAGAAGAATCATGGGCGAGAGATGTCGTGAAGCATACCTGCGGTGCGGGTAAAGCACTGCGGTGCGCTGCGGTGCGGGTAAAGCACTCGATCGAAGATCTAGATATGCAAGCGAGGTTCGATCCGATCTGCAGAGGAACCGTAGAGAGGAGCGCCGATTCGATCTGCAGAGGACCTTCGATCCGATCTGCGGGCAGCAGTGAGAGCGTCGATCGACGATAGCGAAGCGAGCTGGGGAACGGGGACGGTCGTCGTTCGTGAGATCTAGGGCTTCCGGAGAGATCGAGGGCTGCGGGGTAATAATCCCATGCTGAACGCCGATCGCGGGAGGTAGGGAGCGTCGAAGAAGCGAACGAAAGATATAGGATTTTAACGCTGCGTTTACCGATCGCAGGACCGAACGCCCGAACAAACGCCAACACGGCGTCTCGAAAACGCCGGACGCAGAGAAGAAGTTAAAGCTGCGCCAAACGGCCCTAAAAAATATTGCTATCGCTTATTTCTAAAAATTTAAAGTATAAATTTATCACATTAAAGTGTTATAGATATAAATATATAAATTTAAATGTTATATATGAAAATATAAAAGAAATCGGTTAGTTTTAAAAAGGCATTTAGACACATTCCACACAATTCTCATGTATTTTAGTATTTGCAAAATAACTTCTATGACTATGAGCTGTTATATATGAAAACATAAGATTTATGTAAAATGCATGAAAATATTTATTTATCCATCTCATCCTTTATATTTCAATCCCCACTTGAATGGTCTCAACTGCTTCAACGCTGCCGCGAATCTCGAGACGGCCGTTTAGCGGCAGCGGTCGCGATCTCGGGTCGGGTCACCCAATCTTATCCGTATTGTAGGGGTAGTTTAGTAAATTCGCATCGTCCTGAATGCTGCCACCATAAAACCCCACTGTGCATATCGCGGGAGGAGAATTGCAGTAGAAGAAAAGCGTGTAAGGTCACTCATGGCTTCATCGATGTGCCAAGGAATCATAAGGAATAGCCGGCGAGCGGCGGCGTTGGGGAGATTTATGTCGACGGCGTCTTGGTGGGGTCACGTTGAGCCGGCTGCGAAGGATCCAATCCTCGGAGTAACGGAGGCTTTCCTCGCCGATGCGAGCCCTGATAAAGTTAATGTCGGAGTTGTGAGTAGTCGTCTTCTTTACTTCCCTGTCTCGCTACGGTTCTTCTGCTTCCTGCTGTTTTTTTGACAAGGGTGATTTGATTAGGGAGCTTATCGAGATAACAATGGAAAGCCGGTGGTTCTGGAATGTGTTCGGGAAGCAGAGAAGAGGATTGCGGGAAACCTAAATATGTGTGTGAAGTTTCAAGTTTATGTTATGTCTTTTGTTTCTTCATCTCTCGTTTCTCTTTTTCTGTGATAATTTTTAATTGGCATGTTTGTTGGAGAAAATAATTGTCTTCTTTTTATCTACTTGTGTGGCTGTGTTTGTTCATTGGTTCCGTGGAATCTGCTTTATTTGCTATTCTCTTTTCGCCACTTGGATTGGACCCAAGGACATATTGCTATCCCTATGTAAGCCAAGCCATAAGGCGATCAACGAAGACCCTTGGGTTAAAATCCAAAATTGCTGCTTTCATCCAAATGTCTGTTCCCTTTTTGATTTTGAAATTTTCTGGGAGAAGCATCAACCCTGGTATTCCAAAGGTGCTGTTTGATCCACCCCTGCAACTAACTGGGAAACCTTCAACTTCTCCTTTTTCTATGATTTGCTTATTTTTTAAAAATAATAATTAGTGAATATATTGTTTCAAGCAAAAAAAAATTCATTTTCTTGATCTCTTGCCTGTTTAGGAATTTTCAGTTTCTCATGTTATAAAATAACATAATCAATTTGGTTTGTTTTGCAAGAATTTCAAGGAAATACTTTTGTTAAGATGATGTTTAAGTAGAAAGTGATGATAGAAATCTGACTGTTTGCAAGAATTCTAAGGCAGTTATATGGGGATTCTGGTGGTCTAATAAGACTAAAGATGATGGCATAAATGAAATGGAAATATCACAAAAAAAGGGATATTCAAAAGCGATGTTGAAGATGTGATTTTAGTAATGTTTATAAGCATGACATTTTGAGCTAATTAGGTTAGAAGGTAGCCACTCATGATCTTAAATGTGCTTAAAATCTAAGTTGATTCGGACTTAGTGCAATTCTTCACTTTGATCCATAAAAATTGATCTGATATTAAGAAAGTGATTGAAAAAGTTTTGTATAAATTGTTATAAAAATGCTTACTTATAGTTTGTTCGCACTTGGTGTTATTTGCCACCAAATGCTAATTGTATCAGTTAATTTTAATGCTTCACTACGCATAGCCACTAAACAAGCAATGAAGGAATCTGTATTGATACAATACAATTAATTTTTTAATTACTTGTTATGTTAATTGACTGATGATTAGTGTGTTTAGTAAATTTTCATTAACCATAAATTATACCACAAGGATTGCAGGATGATTAGCAAGCTACACCAGCTTGGCCAATGGCCAATTATGGACTTTTATAGATGTTAATTATAGCTGACTATAGGCTACCCAAAGTAAATTAACCATTTAAACTCTAATTATCACAAGTTAGTCTCTGAATTTTAAGTAATCACAAAAAGCCTTTAATTAGATTTATTGAATAATTTTTACAACACTGTTTTTCTTCTTAAACCTCTTTCTATAATTGATTCTCTAAAGTTCCCATAATAACTTTAAGCTGGTGGAGGCTTAAACATGTAATTATGGAATGTTATTTATAATTTTCAGGATATAATTTATTTTCCAATTCGCCACCAATAAAAGCAGGATCTTTGATTACCAGGGAGTATCTTCCAATGGGAGGCAGCATCAAGATGATTGAAGAGTCATTGAAGTTAGCATATGGGGATGATTCCGAGTTAATAAAAGAAAAACGCATCGCAGCAGTTCAAGCACTATCAGGAACTGGGGCATGTCGGCTTTTTGCAGATTTTCAGAAACGTTTCTTGCCTGATTCACAAATTTATATACCCATACCTACCTGGGCAAAGTAAGTGCTATTGTGTCTCAACAATATAATATTTTGTTGCATTTACACAAATGGCAGGGAAATCGTTAATATCAAATAAAAAGTAGCACTATTATCACTTTTTGAAAGTGGAATATACATTTTCAGGCATAGGTTTACAGCAAAGTCTTGTGTATGTAGATATTAAAGTTTGGGTGTGAGATATGTAAATACGTAAGAATTGTGTCTTATGTATGTAAATTTTCCAAATATTTTTACCTGGTATATTTTCTAGTGCTCTGATCTACCTGATGTTTAAAAAAGAGCTGGGCTTACTAGAAGGTTCATTTTTTATGGTCATTAAGAAGACGTGAAAGCAACTATCATCTGAGGATATTATTGTAATATCTGATGTGATTATTTACAGTCATCATAACATTTGGAGGGATGCCCATGTTCCTCAGAGGACATTTCGCTACTACCATCCAGAAACAAAGGGACTTGATTTTGCGGCCATGCTGGATGATATTAAGGTAAATGAAACAATTTGTTGGATGTTGAATTAATAAATCTCATTTAGTTTATCGTGATGATTTCACATGTATTATTTGAACTTGATATATCTTGGAACTTTTTTTTTATTTGATTGCTTATTTTGCGTGTATTAATACACCTTTTCATGCATAAGTAAGGTGGTAGGTATCTTAAAATTGAAGTTTAGGTGTAAGATATGTAAATACTTGAGAATTGAGTGGTATGTATGCAAATTTTCCATTTTTGAAAATTTTATGAATCTAAGTTTCTAAGTTTGTTGCTCTCAGAATGCACCCAACGGTTCGTTCTTTTTGCTTCATGCATGTGCGCATAATCCTACTGGGGTTGATCCATCTGAAGATCAATGGAGAGAGATATCACATCTGTTCAAGGTAAGTGATTTTTTATCTTGTGTTAGTTTTCATTGCCGTTCATTTTATTATTATATTTCTTATTTCCCTTCATTGTTTACCTTGTCATCAATTTCTGGTTTATAGATTAAGAATCATTTCCCATTCTTTGACATGGCATACCAAGGCTTTGCTAGTGGTGACCCCGAGAGAGATGCCAAAGCGATTCGGATTTTCCTCGAGGACGGGCATATGATTGGTTGCGCCCAGTCTTTTGCGAAAAATATGGGACTCTATGGGCAGAGAGTTGGATGCCTCAGGTACGCGTGGTTCTAAAATTTAATGTTTAACTTGCAAGTTAACTCTTGGGATTATGAAGGTTCATGTTGAATAGTTTTATTTTTTGGTTGCTTGGTCGAAGAATTTGTATGATTTCATGGTTACCCTGCATTCTAAGTTTATAATGTTGGATTGTACGTTTTTAGCTTATCATGAGCTGTGAGAGTTTCAATTTCTTATATCATACATAGATCAGTTCTTGAGTTTGCTGATGCAATTACTTATACATAAGCATGCTTATCAGTATCAGTTATCAGTATCAGTTAGAGCTCATAATCTTTTCTCTATATTTTTAGAGAGAAAAGTTTGAAAATAGTCCACTAAGTCTTTGCAGGGGTCACTTTAGTACCAGAGTCTATAAAAATGCCAATTTATTCTTAGACTCTTCTAATATGAGATGAAATCGTCTTCACAAATGATTATTTCAGACCTAATTTAATGAGTGTGGGGATTAATTTGACACATTTATAAACTGTGTGACTAAAATTATCCCATGTAAATAATTGTGGACTATTTTAGCACTTTTAAATCACCTGCTGAGTTCTTGTTCTGTGTTTTCACTGATCTTCTTTTTTTTTTTTTTGTGCTTATTAACTGTGCTTATTAACAGCATTCTTTTTGTGAAGACGATATACAAGCAGTTGCAGTTAAGAGTCAATTGCAGCAGCTTGCTAGGCCTATGTATAGCAATCCACCAATTCATGGCGCACTTGTTGTTTCCATCATCCTTAGTGATGCCGAGCTAAAAAGCTTATGGCTTAAGGAAGTTAAGGTAATCATTGTATATTCAATGTTCTTTTATTCCAACTTTTATCAATCCTTAAGTTAGTGAGGAGTATACATGCATAATGTCAAGATTAACCACTGGCATACTTATGTTTTCAATGAGCTGCATGTTTTCGTTCTTTCAGGCTATGGCTGATCGTATCATCGGAATGCGAAGTGCGCTGCGTGAAAACATTGAAAATTTGGGATCCAACTTGTCATGGGAGCATATAACTAATCAGGTGAGATAGAAATTTCAACAAACTATTGAATTTGAGACAGATTCTGAATGTTTTAAAGGATTACATATGAGATACTATTCTCATTCGATAAATCGACGTAAAAATTTAGTATACTACCAAAAAGTTGGATGAGATTGATGATTTTGATTGATAATCGGATCTAACTTACAGCCCTATGTGCGATAGTGTTGTTGCTAATGAAATCACTTTATCATGGCCATCTCAATGTGATTAATTTGATTAAAATACCTCTTGAATTTTTATATTTTGCTAGAAAGTTCATCGGATTAAACATGAAACTTGACACGATCATGAATTGAAATCTCCCGAATTTAACACGATATGCAAAAGGTAAAGAGGAAGGATGCTGGAGGATCTTCCCTGTATTGCTTTCGATGTGGAGCTGCAAGCAAAGAAAACCAGAGAAGGAACATAGAGAAGCAGGAAGGTAAAGTTGAACTTGCAAATATTTCCAGCTTAGTGTTAGTTTTAGGTTCAAATATTTATAATACTAAAAGAAGTGTCTTGAAGATAGGTAAGATAAGACAAAAGGTAATGATGTGCTTATAACCGAAAAACGGTTGAGATATTTTGTTGTCCTTTCCTGAATGGAGAGCTATCTTTATGATCCCCCCTCAAGTTGATGCTCGGTTCTGTCGAAGTGTCAACTTGTCTCGAAGTAAGATGAAGCACGGTGTTGGAAGTGACTTGGTGATGATGTCTGCAATTGGATTGGAGGTTGAAATATATTGGATGTCAATCTCCTTGGACATGAGTTTCCCTTAAACAAAGTGGTAGTGGATTTCGATATGTTTGGTGCGAGCATGAAACACTGGGTTGTGTGCAATGGTTTGAGCAGATGTATTGTCTCAGTGTATAACCCTGGGAGGTGGTTTGGAGAAATAACCCAAAAATAAAGACCGCGGGTTATTTCTGGGTTATTTCATGATTATTGAAAATAACCCAGAAATAACCTAAAAATAACTCAGGAATAACTTTTTGGGTTATTTCTGAGTTATTTCGGGATTATTGAAAAATAACTCAAAAATAAACTGAAAATAACTCAGGAATAACCTGCACCGCACGTAGAGGTACGTCAGGTGTCCGGACAGAAAATGCGCGTCATGAGATGAGGTTGTTGCCTATGAATGAGCAGTGACCTGTAGTAGAGTGTCGGTCATGTGAGTCGTCTGTCCAGCTGGAGTCAGAATATGTCTGAAGAGTGAGGGAGCCTGGTGCGATAGACTGGCCCAAGTCAAGGGGGCCTTAGGAGGAGCCTCTTGAGTTGGTGGAAATGAAGGCCTAGGGGCTGTTGGAGTTGTTGAGATAAGATGTTGACAGCGTAGGTGATGTAGGGATGCATAATTGTTAGGTATTAGAGAGATCCAATAAGCTGTGGGTAAAGGAATGGGTTGGGGTAGGGCTGATTGAGTTCGGTGGGATGGTGTTTGGAGGGGGATAGGAGGATTTGGTGTAGGTTTGCAATCAGTTAGGCTGGATTTGGTGAGGATCTCCAATGTCGATAACAAATTTATGGCATTGTTTGATGAAGCCAAAACGGCCTTTGAATTTTGCCTGCTCAAAGTTGAAACGAGCATCTCGACGATAAAAATTCATCGAACTCAACGTCATTTAATTCTGATATCGATAAGATACATCCTTATTATTACCTAAGGAAGAGTCTATAATGAAAGAAATTAACGCATGCCTTCTAATCGGGGATGTTCAAATATTTTGATCAAAATAACCAAAATATCACTGAAAAAACTAATATTTAACATTATTGACATGAAACATTCCTAAACTGATAAAACTTTGAGATGTAAACTCTAGAACTCCGCTCAACAATCGAGGTCGACAATCAACACAAGTAATTATATCATTTCAAGCTCTCTTCACTTTGTTTGCTATTGCCCGGCTTCCGCCGTATAACATCATCATCCGTCATCACCCAACTATTGTTGTCCAGCTCCGACGTCTATCAATGCTCAATCTTCACCTCCTAACCTTTAAAAACTTAGAAAGCTCACTCCAAATGGTTTGACAAGGTTGATGATTATAATAAATTTGCAAATCTACCCTGTTTGCCTCTGGCTGTGGTCTATATTTAACGGTTTATTTAGCAGTTCTCAACATATATATCCTAAAGTTATAATCTGAAATGTCTTTACAGATTGGAATGTTCTGCTACAGTGGATTGACTCCAGAACAAGTAGATCGCCTGACTAATGATTTTCATATTTACATGACCAGAAACGGTCGAATCAGGTATATATATATATACATATGTTTGTATTTTCTCATAATTTAATCAAATCAAATACTCAACTTCTAGCTTCCCATTTCTCAGAAATAATTGGGTGAAATTTTTATGCAGCATGGCAGGAGTTACCACAGGCAATTTGGGTTACTTGGCTGCTGCTATTCATGAGGTCACCAAAGCTTCATCAAGCTAAAGAGTCTATTTATGAAGATTGAAAAATAAATTTTAATTTTAGCTGGGAAAAAAAAAGGAAAAAACAATTGCCCTTCTAATTTTTTCTCGATGATTTGTGAGGCATAATAATTTTTTTCCCAATATCATTTGAGTTTGTGCAAATTCGTTTTAAATGGTTTGATTATGAATAAATTGAAATTTAATTATTTGTTGAAATTTGATTATGAATAAATATTACAAATTATATATTTTACATTTAGAATATCAATTTAATTTTATGAATTTTCGATTTATTTTAATCAATTTTTAATTTATTCTACATGAAATTAAGAAATAGGAAAATTTATATACATACAATTTAATTTCTATGTGTTTACATAACTAATGCCTAAACTTCAACTTTTACATAAATATATTTTTACTTATGAATGAAAGGGTGTATTACAACCTTTTATATGCTAAAATGGTGGATTGCTATGAAAGATTCAGGGGATATAAATGTAAAAGGTAGTTTAGGAGTCGGCTATTTAAATACATAGGAATTGGGGGGTGGATATATAAATGCCTCTAAAATTTAATAAGAAATTTTAATATTTTGTTTGTTTGGTTAAAAAAATTTAAAAGTCAACAAAAATTGAAATTAGAATAATAAGCTTTTCAAAAAAAAAAAAAAAAAAAAACTGAAAGGATTTTTGAAATTTAATAAGAAATTTTAATATTTTGTTTGTTTGGTTAAAAAAATTTAAAAGTCAACAAAAATTGAATAAAATAAAAAGCTTTAAAAAAAAAAAAAAAAAAAACTGAAATGTATTTTTGAAACCAAGGAGAATTAGGGTTGTTCGGGAACAGTTCGTGTTTTGTTCGTCAATGAGTTTGTGTTCGATTCGTTCGGTAAGTAAACGAGACGAACATGAACAATTTTTTTCGTTCGGTTAGTTAAACGAACCAAATTTTAATAGTGATGCGTTCGTTCGTGTTCGAATTGTTGTTGTTCAAAATATAAAATAATTTAAAATAATTATATATACAAAATTTATGACATTTTAAAAAATTAAAATTTATAAATTATAATATATAATGAAATAGTAATAATAATATATTAATATACTATATTAGTAATATAATAATATAGATATTATATATTATATAATATAAGTTATATAATTAATATAAAATATTGTTTACGTATATTAATATTAGGAATGTCAAACTGGCACGTCGTTCGTGAACAGCTCGTGTTCGGCTCGTTCGTTTAGAAAAAAAAACAAACAAGGAGAAACATTATAATTTTAAATATAATTTCAAACATGAGCTTATTTCAGACAAACTAAATTTCAAACGAACCAAACACGAACACAAGTCATGTTCGTTCGTGTTCGGTTCGTTTACACCCCTAAGCAAAATCAATCAAACTTGTCTGGTTCGTTTAGATATCTTAAATTTGACCAAATGATACACATAATTTAAAAATAAAGTTGATAATTTAAAAAAAAAAATCTGAAATAGACTTTTATTGCTAGAAATTGTTAAGTCACGTGCGTTTGTTAATTAAAAATTAATTTTGTCATGATATTATAAAAAAAAAGTTAGATTTTCTTTTAAAATTATTGAATTTATTTTGAAGGGTGTTATTAAATAAAATTTAGTTGATTATTTATATATAATCTCTATTTAAAAATAAGTTTAATACTTTTAAATCCTAATTGTTCTTTGTTCTTCCCATAAAATATTAATCAAAATTATTCTGATTATGTTTTAAAAGAAAGTCAATACGGCTAATACGTTGAAAACTGCAAGTCTTGGTGATATTTATTTCCATTTATTCACATATTAAACATCTAAATTTTGATATTTACATTAAAATCACTTTATCTTTAAATGAAATTAGTGATGATGATATTTTTGATAAGATATGAAAGATTTAAGTGTTATAAATGTAAAATTCAAAATTTAGGTGTTAGATATGTAAATTCATGAGAAATGTGTGGTATATTTGTAAAAGCAGCAATAATTTAACAACATATTTAAAATTTTTAAAATATTTTATCCTTAGTTAGATATGAGCACCGGTGGGTTATCAACGCTTAGCTGTCTTCTAAACTACTCATTTATTTATTATTAATATAATTTTTTACTAATTTAGATTGGACGGTCCATGTTGATCCTCCTTGATCATATATAATTTTTTTACTAATTTAGGTGTCTTGATGATCTAATAATTTAACACTGTTAAACTCATTAGTTTTTTATCATCAAGATGCTTGATTTAACTATAAATATGTCAAATTTAGAATTAATTTAACTATTTTATGTATGATTCAAAATATCCAAATGTGTTGTAATGACTTGATCAAAATTTGATTAGACTCGAACTGAACCAATTTTAGTATCACCGGGTTCATCATGGTGAGATGATCAGTTTGACAATAAATTCATTGAAATCAAAATCCATATGATCTTAAATTTAAATTATAATTATTATTAATAAAAATGCATTAAAATTCATACTAGATGACAAAAATTTAACTTTTTAAAAATTAAATATAACTTTCCTTGCAAAGTTAAAGTGATATATACACAAAAAAAAGAAATGAAATTTAGATGCTAGATATGTAATGCATAAAAATTGAGTGGCATGCATGTAAATCTTCCTATTGTTAATTGCATGCTTAATGTTTAATGAAGACTAAAAAATGCTCCTTTCGTTGACAGTGGCTAGTTTTCATCCTATATAATTACACCCACTATCCTATCATGATGTTGCCATTCATTCCTCATTTGTCAAACTACTAACAAAAAAATATTAATCCATGTGATGTTAATTAAATCATTTTTATATTTCGTGATATAAAATAGAGTAATAATAGATATTATATTTAAAATATATTAAATAAAATAACCAAATTACAGCCTCAAAATGGGTAAAATTAAAAGAATTAAAAAAAAAAAACAGATCTTCAAATCATTAGCACATCAGTAATATACAAACATTTACAGCCCACATTCAGAACTAAACTCACACAAAATCTCTCTCAGTTTCCATCTAACACTGAAAGTTTCCTATCTGGGCCCTGAGAGCTCAATCGGTTCCATAACAAACGAAGAAGCTTCATCCACATCGCCATGAAATCTGGAGAAAGTATTAGACATCTCAGGCCCAACCTCATGACTTTCTTCTTCTGCTTCTTCTTCAGCTGGTCTGGCTGCTTCAAGAGCCTTCACCACTTCGCTCATCTTTGGCCGCAAGCTCGGACTCGATTGGGTGCACCTCAGAACCACCTCGACGGCGTTCTCTAGTTCGGCCGTGTTGAATGAGCCGCCGAGTTGCCGGTCAACCATGACGCATAGCCTTTTCTGTTCATACAGCTCTCTCACCTGTAACAAGTTTTGATTAAATTTGTAGGGTTCAACCATAAATGGTGTATGCTTACATGAGCTTTAAGGTGTCATATATAAATACATGGTAATTAAGTGGTCTGTATGTAAATCATCCTAAATCAAAATATAATAAAGAAGAATATCATCAATAATGAGAAGAAAAAAATGCAAATGTAATAATACATCCATAATACGTTAGAAGTATTGTCATAAACACAAATTCCCAAACACATGTAAACAATTACTATGATGTAGAAAACAAGAGAAATTTACATACATACACGTAATTATTACGGGTTTACATATCTAACACCTAAAGTTTAACATTTACATTTATAATACATTGGTGCTATAAACCTATGCATAAAAAGATGAATTTGAATATTAAAATTAAGAAAAAAATGATATTTTTGATGTGATGTTGAAAGATTCGAGTGATCTGCACTTAAATATTAAAGTTTAGAAGTTACATGTGTAAATAACTAAGAATTGTCTGGTAAGCATGTAAATGCCCCCAAGAAACACTTAAGATGCAGCAGAATCATCATCTTTATCGTAAGTCAAAACTGGAAATCAATGAAAATTTTAGCAAAAAAGAACATAAAAAGAAACAAAATAATCAGCAGTTGATATTCATCAAGATAATATTTACCCAATCAAGTATAACTCCTTTCTGGGCGCCGCCATTTCCCGAAAATAGTGTTCTTTGTCCAGTAATCATTTCTAACAATAGAACTCCAAATCCAAAGACGTCGGTCTTCTCCGAAGATTGACCGGTTGAGAGATACTCCGGAGCTATGTGTCCTACAGTACCTCTCACTGCTGTGGTGACATGAGAATCCCTCCTATCTAACAGCTTCGCCAGCCCGAAATCTCCCACAACGGCTTCATAGTTTTCGTCGATTAGAATATTGGCAGCTTTAACATCCCTGTGAATGATTCGAGGTTTGCATTGCTCGTGCAAGTATAGAAGTCCGCGTGCAGCTCCGAGTGCAATTCGCATTCGTTTGTTCCAGTCGAGGGATGGCCCCCCATGATTGTGATCTGTTAATAAATGTTTACAAATTGTAGGGAATGCACAAATTAGAAGTTTTATCAATCAAGTGTATAATGAATCAAATCAAACATATGAATCATAAAATTTCAACCAATGTATCATATTTTTCTCCTTTTTTATTTTCTATAGTTAAATAATCTTGTTCTTGACATCTGCACATGTTTTAAAGGGACAAATCAAAATCTTAAATTCAAAATAGAAGCAATTATGCAACAATTTTATCTTCAAAACTTAATTTTGCACATAATTTAAGATAACAAATCAGAACCTTAAATTACAAAACTACACAATTTAACTCCAAATTGAACCAAATAAAAGGAAAATAGTCGAAGGGTCAAACCTCGTAACCGATCAGCAACGCTCCCATTTGGCATGTAAGGATAAATAAGTAGCCTATCATTCGAGGTCATACAGAAACCATACAGAAATAAGAGATTCCTGTGCAGCGCTAACCCAATCATCTCAACTTCTGTTTGGAACTGCACTTCCCCAGTAAAATTTGGATCTTTCAATCTTTTTATAGCAACAGCCGTTCCATTTCTGAGAATTCCTTTATAAACCACCCCGAATCCGCCCTGCCCGAGTATGTTCCTCGAACTAAAATTATCAGTAGCAACTAGCAGCTCCCGGAATGAGAATCTCTTCAGCTGTCCCATTCCAAATTCATGGAAATGATCTGAGGAAAACGAATCATCAACGTCCAAATTCGTCTCACAAAATAAGTTATCAACGCCCAAATTCATCTCACAAAAATGAGTTTATACATCAAGCAAAACATATGAAACATACCCATTATAAAAACATACCATCAGAAGCAAAAGGTAACCGCCATCGGCAACGATGTAGCCAACAGAAAAGCAAAAGCACGGAGAGCGTCAAAAAACCGCTGACACTCAAAGAAACTACAACAGCTAACTGATGATTACTCGATTTGCCTGAACCGATGGCCTCTATAAATAGTGTATATATGGTTAGGCAGACAAATTGCATTTATACACGGGCATTTACATACATGGCACACAGTTTTCAAATATGAAAGTTTAAGTGTGAGATATGTAATAAATACATAAGAATTGTGTTGCTACATATGTAAATTTCTATTGTAAATACGGATCAACGGAAAGTTATATACCATTGACTACTACAGAGGCATTTGCGCATCCACGCACTGCAGATGAATTGCATAGAAAATAGTTTCCTGCAACACTGGAGTGTAATAATATCAAATTGTCAATAGTAGAATAAATAGTTGGAAAATTTACATATAGCATTCAATTCATACGTATTTACATATCCAACATTTGAACTTCAATTTTTACATAGATAACACCTTGCCCATGCATGAAAAGGTCTATTTCACTTTATAAAACATAAAAAGGTGGTTATTGTGATGTGATATGAAAGATATGGGTTGCATGTAAAAAAGCAAGGTTTAGATGTTAGATGTGTCAATACACTGGAATTGGGTGGTATGTATGTAAATAAGAGCATGGAAAAAAAATAAAACAGTACAGTATTTCAAGATAAAAGAAAACATAATTTTTTACAGTCAAACCACATTATCAGTTTAACAGACCTGTAATCTTTTGCAGAAATCATTGGGATTGGGCCACTTAAATTGTTGAAAGACAAATCTCTGTTACAGATTGTTTCCATGAGTTGTCTATAAGCATGCAAAATACTTGATGAAAATGAAGAATCAACATAGAGCATACAAGAATGTAAGGCCAGCAAGTCGTGCAACAGCTTCAGGTACAGGGCCAGAAAAATTATTCCTATCAAGTCTCCTGTACATGAAAAATAAACAGCATTCCAGCACATGTAAATCAATCGAGTCAAGAGTGAATTTGAGTACGAGTTTCTTACAGGTATCCTAGGTGAGTCAAAAGTCCGAGGGATTCCGGAATCTCATCAACAAATTGATTACCAGAGAGGTCTAGAGTTTTGAGCTGTGAGAGCTTGCCAACCTCAGAAGGAAGAGGACCTGTTAATTTGTTGTTCTGCAAAAGCCTGGGATAAATAAACAAAAGGAACAAGGATTCTTACCAAAAGCTTGCTTTGACTGCAGAATTTGGAGTTACACATCCAAAATTTTATAAATTCGAACATAATTCCTAGTTCCTAGTTAAACATTACATGAAAACTGATGACAATCTAATAAACCGCAAAATCGTAGAATTTCTCATCCAGTGACATTCTGTTTGGTGATATATCCCGCAAATTAGAACTCAAAGAGAAAAGAAAAAAAAAATTGTAGTTTTTTTTCCAATAATTTCAGTGGAACATTGCATAAAGAAACTCAAAGATAATATCCAATTCAGCAGTAAGCAAGATTTAAATCTTACTGTGTTGATAATATATACAAATCTTAACTCTCGAAACAAAGCCAAATAAATTGTTAAAATTTAACATAACAGTTTCCATGCCACAAAGCTTTCAAGTTTCAATCCTCTTAATATTTACTAAAATCACAATTTACAGATTTTAATGAATGCAATTTGAGTTAAATCCTACTTACAGACAGATCCACTTAAAAATGGATAGCAAAGCTAAACCAACAGTAAGAAAATCTTAACACAATTCAATTATAAACATGAGAAGAGCCTCAAAAACCTCATCTTTGTTAAACTCACATAGTCTGAAGATGGCTTAGGTTCCCCACACTCGCCGAAAGCATACCCGATAAGCCATTATTAGCCATTTCCCTGCCATAACACATAAACAACAGATGAAATCCGAAAGAAAAAAATCAAACTTGACTCAAAATTACAGCCCATGCTGATCCAATCTGATTAGAGCAAGCTTCGGATGAAAAACTTACAGAGAGATAACGAGGCCATTGGGCGAGCATCCCACCATAGTCCATGTACATGGATCCACAGAGTTGATATCCCATCCGCGCATCACCCCCACCTCATCCCTCATCATGCTCTTCATCGACATCAACGCTACCACTGCAATCGGGAAACCAAAACCCTACCTAAAGCTGAAATAAACGCAGTATTTAGGGCTAAAGAAGAATGGTACCTTCGTTGTTGACGCCCTTGGGGGAGAGAGGGGGATCGGCCGAATGGACGAGAAACACCAACATTAAGAGAATCTCCGCCGGGAGAAGAAGAAGCGGCGGCAGCCATTGCGCACTCAGAGGCTCCATCGAAGAGGTTTCTGCTTCGGGAAAGAAAGCTCAAAGCTTGATGTGGGCGACGAATGCACCATTATCATCTTTAAATAAAAAACTGTGTTTGCAGCTGGTTTCTTTGAAATCTCTCTCAAGCGCAGGTTCTGAGAGCTACGAGGGCTTAAAATAACAAGCAAGTTGTCGGGAACAGAGTGAAGGAGGCGAAATTAATGAAGTCTCCTCGGCAGTTGTGGAGAGTGGAAGAGGGGAGAGAGAGAGTTGAGAATGGAGAGCATTGGAGAGTGATGGCAGCCATGTGGCGCCCAAAGCTCTCATCGGCGAGGCCTGGTAGAACCACATTGTAGTTTGAAAGCTTTGCTACTTTTGGGGTTCTGGATCAAGCCCTTAATTGAAGGGGAAATTTTTCGATTTCTGTTTGATTGAAGCGATCGAAAATGAAAAAAACGAGCTGATTTATAAGTGGATTTGAGATGAGTGAGATTTTTCTTTGGAAAGATTGTTTTGTTCCTCAAAATTTTCAAACAAATATCTTTTTGAGGCATTTACATACCATACCGACCAAGTCTTATGTTTTTACATATCGAAAGTCTAAATTTTAATATTTACATTTATATAATCCAAATTTTTATTATCACATAAAAATATCACTATTTTATTTTTAATAAATTTAAATACACATTTTTAAATGTGGCATGTAATTAAAAATTGAAGTTTAAGTAATAGATATGTATGCAAATCTTCCTATCTTTTTATGTGAAGAACAACTAGTTAGCTATTCAGGTATTTAAAAACCTGTCTCATTAATGTAAACAATCAAGTTAATGACATAATTATTTAATGTGATGCTGATTAAATATTAATAAATAAATAAATAAACAAATAATATCATATTACATCATAGATATTATATATATATATATATATATATAATTGATCGAGGCTATTATATGTGCTCTCAGTCACCCTCATGTGCCTAGCTATTCGAGGACCATATATATGCTAACATAACATTTTATTATATCCACACATACATATATTTATATATAATATTTTTGTATAATGGAATTGATAATCTCAAACAAATCTCTATTATTCAGCATAAATCTTGAGGCAAGACACAGATCTCAAGATTTTTTTTTTGAGCAAGGACTCTTCAAATCGTTATAAAAATTTATCCAGGGCTTTGATTTGATTAAACTTATGGTCAAACTAACCGGCTTGATGAGACAGACCGAATGATATAAAAATTAGTCTAATTCAAGTCAAATCAAGCTCAAATCAAATCGTTAAACCACTCTTTGAAGATTTTCAAACACATTTGGAAGATCAAATGTATGTCGAATATGACGAGTTCATAGTCGAATTGGGCATCTCGACAAGACGAATCCAACAACTCAAGATTACTCAATTATGACATCATTAAGACACTCAAACGTTCATCAAACACCGTCTGATCAAATGAAGCTCCCGGGACCGTTCGATCAAAATAGTTCATATTTTTGCATTGATTACACCCAGAACAATATAAATAAAGCCCAACCCCTCTTATGATGATACAGAAGGGGGAGAGACTTTTAATTTAATTTTTAATTATGATCCACGATTAAAAATTTTGAATGCAATGCAATGCAAATAATATAAAATTTTGTGAGGTAATTGAAAAAGGGGATGATTAAAAATAGTTCGGGCAATCCATCATGGCCACACTCAAATGGAGAGGCAACTTGGCAACCTAAAAATGATGAAATAAGATAATAAAAAATTACTACAAATGACTCATTGACGATCAAAAGAATTAGGGTTTAAAAAAAAAAACTCGTTGTTTGCGAACAGTTCGAGTTGGACTCGTTAAGTAAGTGATTCAAACACAGACGGATTTTTCAAGCTTGAATTATAAACGACTTGACAACAAACAACTCTTTGTTCGATCGTGTTATGCTCGTTTTAGCTTGAAATAAAAAAATTATATAAATTATTTATATTAATATAGTTTATATATTTATATTTAAGTTTAAATCATAATAGCTAGTGTGGTCATGTGGTTCTGCATCATATATTGCATAGAATTGGTGAAAGTTTGAATCCAACTCCCGATAACTATATTTTTCTAATTAATTTAAATGAGTCAATTTCAAGCCAATAAGAATGTATAAATTGAGCTAAACACGAACACACAACTCACGAACAGTTTTAAACAAAAGCCAATTTCAAACCACTTGAACTCGAGCCAAGGCCAAGATCGCTCACTCAAGCTAGACTCATTTACAGCCCTACAAGTAATAGTCAAATCTCTGAGATCCTTTTTGTTGTAACGACACTTCATTGTTTTCAATTCAAATTACATCCTTAGAAAATATAAAATCATACTTTATTTATAGATTTGACAAAAGAAATTTTGGCTACATCTAAATTCAAGGGAAATTTATATACACATCACTTCATTTTTATGTATTTACATTTCTAATGTCTAAAATTTCATATTTATATTTATAATAAATGTCATAAATTTTTATGTGAAAAAAAAAAGTGTATTTAATTTTTAAAAACAAATAAATGTGATATATTTATTACTCGCTTCATGACTCCTTAGCCTTGATATATGTGCTGAGTAAATTAGAGTATTTAATGGAACAAAGGGTTTTATTTATTACATGGATTCCAGAAGTACTAAAGTTTGATTAATATATGCTAAAAGTTCAACATCCAATGTGAAATGTAATACAGATGTAAAATTTAAATTTTAAGCATGACATATATTATTGTATATGGGAATATTCATGGCAAGAAAAAATAATAATTTAATATTTTAGAATTATATAAAATTTCAAACACACATAAATAAAAAAGAATATCCAGAGAAAATAACAAAAAAAAAACTTTTAAATATAAAACCCAAAAAGAGAAAAATCATTTGGCTAACTAGCTCGATTTAAGAGATCCACTAAAAGTTCACAGATACATAAGTTCAGTCTTGTCCTGAATTATTGGAGTTGGATTTACAAAGTTGATAATTATAGATGTACGCAAATAATTTAGCAATAATAGTTGTAATTGGGCCATAACAAATATACTTTTTTTGGCGATAATAATGTAGTGGGTCGTAGAAGTCATAATAATAAGTTGCACAAGTAATGAGATGCCATAGACAATAGAGGGGAGCCACAATGAAAGAACATTGATTTTGGACTCATTAAGGGTCTGTTTGCGGCAGCTGCTGATAAGTTGATTAAAAATAATCTGCTGATAAGCTAGATGCAGTAGCTATTATAAATTTTTATTTTTTTTTGGAAAAGCCAGACGATAGCCAGAAAGCTGTCACCGCACCTAGACAGGTGCAGTGTGAAAACGTTGTTTTCAGCGTTTTGAAAACGCATAAGCCGTCAAAACTCAGTTTACCCAAACAGACAATGTGTGTTTTCAAAACGCTACCGCACCAAATAAGCTGCCCCGAACGAACCCTAAGACATGGATGAGAGCACTTCTGCCATTATCAAGCTTGCCTCAAAAAAAAATTATTTTGATTATAATGAAAATCAAAATTCAAGTCTTCCGAATTTAATTAATCTTAGTTTATATAATAATAGATTTAATTAATTGCTAAATTTGAATGATTAAACTAATTAGAGTTTGCTGAAGTATCAACATCAAAATCACCCTCAACTACTTAGCAAAGAAGCGTTATAGACTATATTGTTTCATTGATAATAATCTATTACTTGCCTTTGCTGACCAATTAGCGGATTGCCAATTAAAGAATAATTATGGCACTAATATTTTATTTAATAAATTTTGTATTTTGTTTAAATATTTGTTGTATTCTTAAAGTATTCTATGTATCAAAATTATAATATTCTCTTGTAAGAATATTAATTAGTTTATTATAATATTATCGCCATCACACCGAAAAAAGAGTCTCGGATGAATGCAATGAGCTATTTGTCTCAGACGGAAAAAAATATTTTCTAGAACAGATGTTTCAGAATCGGTTATGTCATTTTGGATCCTGCATCGCTTAATTTGAATCATTGTCGAGCCGTGTGATCGCCTCATGTAATAATTTCTCCTAAGATGTACCCTTCATTGGGTAATTGCCCAAGCACAACTAACAAGCATGATAATTGGAGTGTCCAAATTGCAATCTTATTTTCATAATTTTCGGTCCACGCCTTCGTTTGGTAAAACGGTAAAGTTTCGTTCGATTAGAATGAATGTTGATGTCTAAATTTTTTATTTATTTGGTGAACCACGGGAGATGATTGTCTCCCAAAGTTCTTTTGTAAGAACGATAAATTTTCATCATTTCAAATGGTAGCTGGCCTACTTTAGTTCGACAAATGTAACTTTTAAATCAGATAGACTGAATGATAATACGATAATACCACTTTAAACCAAACCTAAATACCATTCTCAATTTTGTTAAAACCATGTGAGTATTTATTCTCTCATACACAAAACACGTTAGCAGGTATAAGAAAATATGTATGTTAAAAAAACTATTTTCTTAATAATATTTACGACATTTATTTTGAGGGTGTATATATATATTAACATAGAACGAGTTTGGACATTCAAAGGGAGCTGCCACTTCCCAGCTAATTGAATATAATGTTTCTATAAATGTGTAATTCAAGTAAATAATTAAACAGGTGATGAGATAACTAATAAACATCTTTATTTTTAAATGATCCAAATACAAAGAAGAGTTATAAATACATTTCCGGACATTTTGTCCCACACAACTTCAATAAAAAAGAATTTCGTAATAAATAAATAATAACTTAAAAGCGACATATTAAGACATCAGCAATCAGGAGTTAACCTTTCTGCAATTCAAACGTATCTCTCCGCTGCTTCCCGTAAGCGGAGTAATGGCCCCCATCTTCACCATACCCGCCGCAAAATCGCGGAAGAAGAGCG